TGCCAATGACGCAGACAAAAAATTGGACCTGTCCCACAGTACCTGAGCCGTAGCTGGAACGGCCTGAGCTGCTGTCATGGTAATTGCCCGGGCGCCAGTTCCTGACGATAATGAGCCCATGTTATAGGATGCCGGGGGCTGGGAGGAATTCACGTTGTAAGCATTATTGGAAGAGGTTGTGGAATTATTATTCCGACATCCACGTGTATTTTCTTTAGAGGCTTTGGATGTAAGAGTAGACCGAAGAGCTTCAGATTTAAACTTCTTTTTGGGGATGTGATCCGTTTTCTTAGGGTGAGACGTTGGATTGTATTTCCTCTTTTGCACTGGAGTGTGTGAATGAGCGTGGTGATTATTCACTGGCTGTGAAGGAGTATCTAATTTCAAAGATCGCCTTTCAAATATTTCTGTAATTCCAGCGTTATCAGCTTCCAGCTCCTTTTTAAATTTAGCCAGCTCCTGGTCCAGCTTTCTCAAATACCGACCTACCAAGTCATAGATCTGGTTTGTCAGCTGCATCTTCCAAAACTTTATAGTAATCATTTTGATGGATGTCATTTGTTCTTTCCATTCAGGCTTATTTTTCTTTGCATTTAAAAAGAATTCACTGACTCTCTGTTCTAGCTGATCCATTGCATTCTGGACCTGCAGGTCCATCTAGCGCATCTCCGTGAAGCGGTCCCGCAGGTCCATGGGAAGCTGTTCAATCATCTCCAAATAGTCCTCTAGGTAGAACATCGCGGCCCTGAGAGCTGGAGAAACAAGGGCATCCAGGGGTTTATTTCTGTCACTCGCTGTCGCCGGAGTTTTGTCCCTTTCAATATGGCGCCTCAGCTAGGTGAACCCGCTCGGCTGGGGGGGGGTGGGGGAGAAACACTTTGGCGCCTGACGGCACTCCGAATCTTTGCTTTCTTTATGTTGAACTTCAGTTAGTAAAAAAGGGAGCTCTAATGCTGAGGGGTTAGACGGGGTGGGGGGTAGTGGTTGGGTCAACACCTTAAAAAAATCAACAACAGGGCGCTTTACATACCTCCTTTGGTCCAGCCTTCTTGAATTGGAGTATTTGCTGGCTCCATCTCCTCCTCAGATTTCCAAGAGTCTCCTGAAGAAGCTGCGCAGGCAAACGAGATTTAAGAACCTTGATTTCCCTGCTGCAAGCGTCCATACTGGTACTACCTTTCCTGATCCTCCCAGTCCTTTCCCGGGTGCAGGTCTACCACCCCGACCCCACCTTGCCCGCTCAGGAGCGCAGGGACGCTCTGCCCAGGTCTCCACCCTCATCCTGAAGTCGTCCATACCTAGTTCTTACTCTTCTTTCATTTCTTGTCTTGCTCAGCGAGTCCTGAGATGACAGTTCCCGCCTTTCTCGCCTTTAAAAGCCGCCCAACAAATCCCAGCGTCCTTTGCGCTCCCTCCGTACACAACCATGGCGGCGCTCAGGGAGCCTCCCCAATCCCGGCATGCACCGGGAGCAGGCCCCTCCTCTCTCTGGGTCGGGAAGATGGCGGCTTCCACCGCACAGCCGCAACTCCTGGTGCAGTACTTGGTGCTACGGAAGGATCTATCGCAGGCTCCGTTCTCCTGGCCAGTCGGAGCTTTGGTGGCGCAGGCTTGTCACGCAGCCACCGCGGCCTTGCATGTTCACCGCGACCATCCTCACACGGCGGTTTTCCTCCAGAATCTGGGGCGCATGCACAAGGTGGTACTCGAGGTGAGTCCCGCCCCTGCGCGGGGGGTGGGGTGGGGAGGAACGCTGAGGGTGTTGGACCGAAAGCGGGCGTGGTCTTGTCTTGCTGAGGACCACCTGGATGGAGTGGGTGTGGCGTCCAGATTTACTGACATCTGAGACAGCTGTTTGCTATTTAAGAGTTGATTCTCTTGGCTGTTCTGGGTCGGTGCATGCAAAGACCGGACATCGGGGCTTTTTTTTAATACTTCTCTGCACCTCGGGGATCTCACTGGGAACTCAGTAGATAGGTGTGGGATGCAGGCTGTTGGAGTATGATCCCAACTTTTGGTAGGTACACTATGCACCAACAACAACACCCCCCCCCCCCCTTGCTCTGTAGTGAATTCCAACTCAGAGCGACTCTGTAGGACAGAGCATAACTGCTCATAGGATTTCCAAATCTGTGTGTCTCGCCTGTGGAGCAGCTGATTGGTTGGAACTTCTCAGCTTTTGATTAGCAGAGAAGCCGTTAATCAGTGTGCCACGAGAGCTCCTTACCTATTCTCAGGCTGGCGTGTTAAAGCCATGCTAAAAAATTGTTTTCATTCACAGAACTAACCCACAAGAGATGAGAGCACTCAGTGTTCCCTGTTCCCTGTTCAGTGAACTCAGTTGCCTAAATCACGCTTTTACCGAGTGTTAACATTTTGGTACAGAACTGTCAGACACCAGGGTGTACATCATTAGTTCATTATTTTTTAAAAATAGTGAACATGTTCTGGCTGAGTCCCTGGGCAATGCAGACGGTAATAGGGTATCAATAGAGGTTGGAGGTCACTCAGAGGCACCTAGGAAGAAAGGCCTGATTATATACTTCCAAAAAAATCAGAAATTGAGAATTTTGTGGAGCACAGTTCTTCTCTGACATGTGTGGGGTCACCATGAGTCAGTATCAACCTTTAATCTTAAAGAGCATCTAGGCCTTAGTGCCGCCTTGTGCTGACGGAGAAATAGATGACATTCCTAGAGTTGATGGCCATCTCCTCCATACCAAGCCCCAAACCTTACAGAAACCTTACGAATGTTCATTTTCTGTTTTACTAGAATACTTTTACATATATTGTTGTGTACCACTCATGTTCACAGTACTCTAAACTGACCCTGCAGCAGATTTTCTGAGGCAATAAATCAGTCACTATACCAAAAAAAATTGGCTGACACAGAAGAATTTCATGAAACAACATATGATCAAGAGGCAATGGTGATGACCGAGGATGTTCAAGCTGCTCTGAAGGAAATGGCAGAAAATAAGGCCTGAAGAATCCATGGAATACCATTTGACATATTTCAACAAACAAATGCTGCCCTGGACATCTGGAAGACAATTATAAGGCCAACTGACTGGAAGATATTCATGTTTATGCCCATTCCAAAGAAAGTGATCCAACAATGTGGAAATTGTTGAACAATGTCATTGATAACCACACACAAGCAAAGTCCTGTTGGAGATTATCCAGAAACTGCTGGAACAATACTTCGACAGATAACTACTAGAAATACAAACTGGTTTTAGAAGACACCATGGTACTAGTGACATCATAACCAAAGTCAGATGGATCTTTACCAAAAGCAAAGAGTACCAGAGAAATGTCTATTTGTGTTTCCTTGACTATGCGCAGGCATTTGACTGTGTGGATCACAGTAAATTGTGGCTAATCCTGATAAGAATGGAAATCCCAGAACACTTGATTGTGCTCACGTGAAACCTATACTTGGAAGGTGAAGCAGTCCTCAGAACTGAGCAAGGAAATACTGCATGTTTTAAAATCAGGGAAAGAGCATCAGGGATACATCCTGTCTCCATATCTTTTCAACTGGTATGTGGAATAGATCATTCAAGAGGCTGGGCTTTATGAGGAGGCATGTGGCATCAGAATTGGAGGAAGAACCATCAACAATCTGTGTTATGCAGATGATACATCTTGTTTGTTGAAACTGAGGAGAACCTGAGGCATCTTCTGCAAAAGGTCAAAGACTGTAATCTTCAATATGGATTGAAGCTCAACATCAAGAAGACAAAGATTCTCACCACTGAGCCAATTGGCAATACCATGATAGATGGAGAACAGATTGAAATTGTTAAAAATTTCAGCTCGCTCAGCTCCATAATCAACACCCTTGGCATCAGTAATCAGGAAATCCTAAAATGAACTGTATTAGGAAAATCTGCTGTCAGGAATCTCCAGAGTGCTAAAGCGCATTGGTGTCAGTTTACAGACTAAAATGCACATGATCCAGGCCATGGTCTTTGCTCTTGCTTGCTATGCATCAGAAAGCTGGAGAATGACTAAAGATGACAGGGGATCATCGGTATTTTTGAGCTGTGGTGCTAGGGAAGAGTATTGAACATACCATGGACTGGCAGGAGAACAAACAGGTCTATTCTGGAGAGGATGAAATCAAGCTGCTCCTTGGAGGGAAGGATTTTCAGGCTCCATCTCTCATACTTTGGGCATGTGCCAAGAGGGACTAATCCTTGGAGAAGGACATCATGCTTGGAGGGATGAAGGGACAATAAAAGAAGAAGACCCTGAATGAGATGGATTGAAACAGTAACTGGGTTAATAGGGATGAGTGTGCTGGAGACAGTGATATTGGCTCAGGATAGGACAGGGTTCGGAGCTACTGTACATAGGGTTGCCTATGAGTTGTGGTCAACTCAATGGCACATAACATTAATAACAAATCTTATCAATGCAGATAGCCCCACTTTCTCCTATAGAGAAGCCAGTGGACTCAAACTGTGTGACTTTGAGTTGATAGCATAATTCCTTACCACTAAGCCACTAGAATTCCATATTACACATATAGTCATAAATTGATAACTCAAATGTAGTATTTCTTAGATTGTATGGATAGTGCATTATATACTGTGCTGTTAGTAAAAAAGTTGGCAGTTTGAATCCATCAGCATGATCCCTGAAGACAGTTGGGCAGTATCTTCCTGTAAAGATTTATGGTGATGTTGTTGTTATGTGCCATCAAGTCACTTGCAACTCATAGCGACCCTATGTACAATAGCTCTGAACCCTGCCCTGTCCTGGGCCAGTCTCTTACTTTAACACATTTAATCCCACTCCCCCAGGTACTGTGTCAATCCATCTCATCCATTTCAATCCATTCTCTCCTGTGCTGTCCCTTTCTAATCATGATGTCCTTCACTAAGGACTGGTCCTTCCTGGCCACATGCCCTAAGTATGTGAGATGGAGCTTCAAAATTCTTGCCTTCAAGGAGAAATTTTGTTTCACTGTCTTTAAGACAGGTATATTTATTCTCCTGGTGGTACATGGTGTATGTTCAATACTTTTCTCCAGCCCTACAACTCAAAGGCATCAATAATTCTTCTGTAATTCTTAGTCATTGTCCAAATCTCTGATGCATAGCAAGTAATTGCAAAGACCATGGCCTGGATCAGGCACGCCTTAATCCCTAGACTGATATCATTGCTCTTAAGCACTTTGGAGAGGTCCCTGACAACAGAGTTTCCCAGTGCAGTTCGTCTTTTGATTTCCTGATTACTGGTACCAAGAGTGTATAAGTATAAAGATTTACAGCTTTGGAAATTCTATGGAGAGTGACTAGGGGTTGGAATCAAATTGATTGCAGTGGGATGAACAACAAAGTTGTTTTGTAAAATCTTTTTTTGTTTTAGTAACATTATTAATAACTGACCATTACAAATTTTAACTTTTAACTTTTTTTAAGTATTTATTCTGAAGAATGTTATTGATTTAATAAACAAAATTAAAGGTTTACAAATACTAATTAACAAAGTACTGTAGCTAGTTTGATAGAATCTGTCGGTATGCTCTACAGCCCCTTGTTTGGTAAAATTGCCCCTCCACTTTCAGTTTAAAGGAAGTCCCTTTTATCTGGGCCTCATTTTTCAGGCACTGCCTAAGTAGACTATTCATTCAGTCTGTATTCTGCTCCCTGTAGGCCCCCGATGAGAACACCCTAAAAGACTTGGCTGAGACCTTGCAGCAGAAGAGCATTGACCACACACTGTGGCTGGAGCAGCCAGAGAATATCGCCACTTGCATTGCACTCCGACCATACCCCAAGGAAGAAGTTAGCCAGTATTTGAAGAAATTCCGATTGTTCAAATGACTTCTCTTACTAGTTGCTTTGATCAAGTGGACCCAGAAACAGGACGTCATCTACCCCTGAGCAACATGTACATGTCACTTTAAGTTATGCTGATGGCTTGTGGGCCAAACCCATGTTTATATTAAAGTTGTCATTAAGGTATCACTACTTTATGTTCAGGTGGGGAAAGCCATCACTTATCTGGAAATTTGGTTAGATTTACACTGGAGTCACATAAACTCACTAGGTCATAACATTGTCCTGCATTAAGGTGACCTGCTAGCTCCTTTAAAGCTAAGTATGACCCAGCTACCCAGCTCTGCCCATCAGATGCAAAAATAACGAGACAGGAGAGAAGTATGCAGGGTGAATTTTGCTCCTAAGTGATAACAGTACTTTTCATTTTACTCATAAGTAAACTCATGCATAGTAATGAAACAGCACTTAAAATTTAAAAATATCACCATTATATGTTTCCAATTCTTAAGATTTCACTAAATGTCATTAGATGCAAAGCTTTAAAATGTGTCTTTACCCATCACTCCTAAATTTGATACCTATAATTGCTCTTTTTCTTACTATAAGGTCCTGTTGTTGTTGAGACTCATAGCGACCCTGTGTACAACAGCCCTAAACCCTGCTCTGTCCTGTGCCATTCGCATTGTCTCTGACACACCCACCTCGATTACCCCAGTCACTGAATCAGTCTACCTCTTAGAGGGTCTTTCCCTCCTGTGCTGTCCTTCCATCCTCCCAAGCATGATGTCCTGTCCAAAGTATGTCAGATAAAGTTTCACAATCCTTGCCTCCAAGGAGCAGCCTGCGTTAACCCTCTCTACGATGAACCTGTTCGTTTTCTTAGCAGTCCATGGTACATTCACTACTCTTCTTCTCCAGCACCACAGCTCAAAGGCATCAATTCTCCTTCTATCCTCCCTAGTCATTGTCCAACTCTCTGATACATAACAAGTGATTGCAAAGAGCATGGCCTGTATCAGGCACACCTTAGTCTCCAGAGTGACATCATTGTTCTTCAGTACTTTGGAGAGGTCCCTAGCAGCAGACTTTCCCATTGCAATCTGTCTTTTAATTTCCTGGCTGCTGGTGCCAAGAGTGTTAACTGTGGAGCCAAGCAAACTAAAGCTGTGAACAACTCAATCTCTTCACCATCCATCCTGATGTTGCCACTTGGCCCAGTGGTGAGAATCTTTGTCTTCTTGATATTGAGCCTCAATCCATAGGTTGCAGTCCTTGACCCTCTGCCGCAAACACTACACGTCCTCCTCAGTTTCAGCAAGCAGGGTTGTGTCATTTAATGCAGATTGTTGATGAATCTTCCACTAATTGTTGTTGTTATGTGCCGTCGAGTCGCGTGCGACTCATAGTGACCCTATGTACAATATCCCTAAACTCTGCTCTGTCCTGTGCCAGTTGCACCGTATCTGATACACCCATCCCGATTACCCCAGTCACTGAATCAATCCACCTCATAGAGGGCCTTCCCTTCCTGCGCTGTCCCTCCACCCTCCCAAGCATGATGTCCCTCTCCAAGGACCGGTCCCTCCTTACAACGTGTCCAAAGTATGTTCGATGGAGCCTCAGAATCCTTGCCTCCAAGGAGTCGCCCGGTTTGACCCTTTCCAGGATGAATCTGTTTGTTTTCCTAGCAGTCCATGGTACCCTCAATACTCTTCTCCAGCACGACAGCTCAAAGGCATCAATTCTCCTTCTATCCTCCGTAGTCACTAATAGTACATCTAAACTTCAACTACTGCTCTGTTACTCAAACCCAGCTCACTCTGATTTAATATATTCAACATTTACTAAATACAAAAGATTTGCCAAGACTCTGCTATGTGACTTAAATCCATTAGCCCATTTAGTCTTTACCATGGCCTAATGTAGGTACTTTTATTACCAGCATTTTGCATGTAGGGAAATAGAAGCACCAACAGGTTGAATGCCTTGCTCCAGATCACATAGTGAGTGGCCCAATCAGATTTAAAACTAGTCATTTTGCACAGAGGCAGTCAACCAGTACATGGTATTTTAATTAGATGTGTATGCAGGAGTCAAAGGAAACTTCCTTTTTTTAATTAAAAATGTTTCTACCAATCACCCAGGCTTAAAACCCTTCCCTTTAATGTATGTCTTTTCTTTACAGCTAGTCAACAAAGTTTATTGACTCTACTTGACTGTTAAAAAGAAATGTTGCAGTGTAAAAAAAAAGTTGCCAATTAAGGCATACAGCTTTTAAAACAAGTATATCACCAAGAACCACTGGTATTGAACCCAAACATTGTCCAAAGTACACTGAAGGCATTGATAAAACACACAAGTCTCCAGGAATTGATGGAGCCAGTCAGTTGAAGTATTTCACCTTACAAATGAAGGCATGGGTGTGCTCACTCATCTATGCCAGAAAACTGGAAAAAGTAAACTGGCCACCTCTTGAAGAGGTGCCCATTCCAAAGGAAGGGAATCCAATAGAATGTTGACATTATAGAACAACATCATTAATACCACATGCATGTCAAATCTTGCTAAAGATAATTTTTAAAGGGTTGGGAACTTCTAGAAATGCAAGCTGATTTTAGAACAGGATGAAGAATGAGGGATATCATTAGATGGATTTTGGTTGAAAGCAGAGATTACCAGAAAGATATTTACTTGTTCTACTAAACTGTGCTGTCTTGTGTTCTATTAAACTATGCAAAAGCATTCAGCTGTGTGGATTGTAATAAATGATGGAAAACAGTGCAAACAAAAGAATTCTAGAACACTTAGTTATGCTCATGTAAGAATAGATGCTGAATGAGAGTATACGATGCTGTTGAACACCAGGAAAGGTACAAGTCAAGGTTGTTTTCACCGCATTTGTTCAATCTGTATGCTAAACGACTAATCCAAGAAGCTGGACTATATGAAGAAGCACAACATTAGGATGAGAGGAGGGAAGACTCATTAATAACATGCAATAAGCAAATGACATCATCTTGCTTGCAGAAAATAAGGATTTAAAATACTTCCTGAGCCAACTTAGACTGTAGCCTTCAGTATGAATTATACCTCAACATTAAATACACACACACAAATACAAATAAACCAAAACCATCATGATAAATGGAAAAAAAGGTTAGAGATTTCATTATACTTGAAAGTACAGTCACTGCCCATGGAAGCAACAGTCAGAAGTCAGAAGACATAGGGCACTGGGAAAACCTGCTGCAAAGCGGCCAACTCTAAGTGTGCCATTGAGGTGGGCCTGACCCAAGCGATTGCTATGACGTCAACTACCAGTGCATAAGGTCATTCATTAATTACATTGTGTCTGCCTAGCACCTTGATTAAGCCATTACTTTTTTCCAGTTCACTTATGTGCATATAAAAGTTGAACAATGAATAAGTAAGACTGAGGAAGAATGGATGTCTGTGGAGTGTGAGCAAAGCCTATTTTCAAATGTCAAGAGTATCTTGGAAGAAGTGCAATGACTTTGTCTCACATACTTTGGTATCAGAGAGCCCAGTCCTTAGAGAAAGACATTATCTTGGTAAAGTTTAGTTGAGGACTTCCTTAGAAAAAGAAAGATTCTCCACATTAGGGGTGGACACAGTGGCTCCAACTGTCTTTTAAGCACAGCAGAAATGATGATGATGGTGCAGGATTAGTCAGGGTTTCATTCCGTTGAATTAGGAGTTAGAGCTGCTTTGACTGGGAACCAGTTTGCCCATGAAATGTTAGAACTCATTAGCATTCAAACCCTGCACAATCGGATTTCCTCTCTATCATTTTAGAACAATCTTCTGCTGCTCCCTTCTCCAAAGTTGACATTTCAACAGAGAGATTCTCTACTTGCCACCCTACAGTCTCTGGCCTGGGACCCGAAAGTTACTCTTTCTCTGCCTTTTCTGGCTCAGGATTTTAACGATAGTATTCACAGCTCACATCCTAGCACCTTCAACAAGTTTTTTAATCAAAATTGAGTAAATTTTGCATATCTATAGCTATAAAATGTTTAAACCATTTCTAGAGACATTGGACATAGCAACAGAGGCAAATTCTATAAGGTATAATTTACTTAACAGCTGCTTGTTGCACTGAGAACATAAAAGGCTAAGAATATGTAGATGGTCATAGACTGAACTGTATCCACCAAAAATATGTGTCAGCTTGCTAGGCCATGATTCTAACAATTATGAGATCATTCCCCATTTTGTGATCTGATGTAATTATCCTATGTACTATAAATCCTAACCTCTATGATTTTAATGAGGCAGGATTTTTGTTAGGTGCTGTCCGGGTGAGTACAAATCATAGCAACCGTATGAACAACAGATCTGAACCCTGCCCTGTCCTGTGCCATCCTCACAATCCCTGGCACACTGGAGCCTATTGCTGTAGTCACTGTGTCAACCCACCTGGTTGAGGATCTTCCTCTCCTTCTCAGTTCCTCTACCTTTCCAAGCATGATGTCCTTCTCTACAGTATGTGCCCAAAGTCTGTGAGATGAAGCTTCATCATGTTTGCCTCTAAGGAACACTCTGGCTGTATTTTCTCTATGACATACCTGTTTGTTACTTGTTCTTTTGGCCGTCCATGGGATGTTCAGTTCTCTTCTCCAACGCCACAGCTCAAAGGCATCAGTTCTTCTGTCAGCCTTTATTTTCCAGCTGTCAGATGCATAGCAAGGAACTAAAAAGACCTGAAGTGAGACGGGATTGGTGGCAGTCATGTTAATGAGGCAGGATACAATCTGTAAGGTTACGATGTATCTTTAAAAATAAAAACAAAATGTTTTTATTGTGATTTTAATGAAAGTTTACAGAAAACTTGGATTTCCATTCACTCATTGTTGCACATTTTGCCCCCATTTCACTTTTTTAAAAAATACTGGTTTATTTACAAAGTTCAAACACATTGTTTTTCACACCAAATCTTTCCCTTTTCCTTCACCCCCCCTCCCATCAAATTGTGTGACCCTGTGATCCTCACCCCTCTACTTCCACCTTCCCCCACTTGG